TACCTGGAAGCATGAAGTAGCATAGGAAGCATTAAGGAAAAAAAAATTAATGCTGTATGTGTTGTTAGAAACAAACAGCTCCAATGAGTTTAAGTTCATCTTTCCCGACCTTCAGTATGAGAAATAATGAATCGCCCAGGAAAATAATGAACCTCGCTTTGTTGCTTTTTCCAGCTGACACCTTGTCAGAGGGAAGCAAAAGGACTGTCGTGGCAGTTGGGACGTTATTTTTACAGTTTCATGCCATTGTATTTCATCAACTGTTATTTATGGTGTTTTGTTGCATTGTTTTTTTTTTCCAATTAATAAACTGAACTAGGATTCCGTATGGATTTGAGCACTCTTCTTTTGTAACAAGCTTTAAGTTAATGCAAATCTTTAATATAAAGATCTTGACTAGTGTCTGCTAGCTGTGGTGCCTCGCACCTAGAAGTGCTAAATGCCTCCATACCTCTGCCTACGTAAATACACGTAGGTAAATATCCACCAAACTGACAGTTTTCTGTTAGATCTCTCCTTAAATTTCTGTCAGCATGGCTGTAAATGGAATGATAACAGGCAGAGGGTATGGTCAGCCACTCTCTGTAGTGTAGTGGGATTTAATATAAGTATGATTTTTCATTTTTATACGTGTAACTTATATCTTTGACTTGTGCCTGCCTTCTGGTGTCGGTCAGGTCTTTGTTGTAATTCTTTGTAGTTCTCTTTGCACAAAGCAATGCAACCCTAATGGACTGCGAGTGGGGCTCCTGAGCAGTCCCAAGGAGGCTCATAGTATCTGTTATTATCTTTATAGTGTAGGACCTCCCAGGTTATAGAGCAAAACTCACCTGTAAAGTTAGCAAATATATTCAAGAGTTCATGTCTGTTCAGTTCATATGTATGTAAACACAGTAAGTGCAATTTAAAAGAAGTAACAGAAAAGACTGGCAGATACCATGCAGTTATCCCTATTTCCATCCCTATTTAAAGAATAACTTAATTCTAGGCATTAGTAGATAATTAAGCAAATGCTAGTGTTTACTACACTGCTTATCAGTGCACCTGAAAATGACTCTTTTTTTCTTATATGCAATATACTGTCTGGTTCTGGCACACAAACATTGAGTAAAGGGAGGAAATATATGTCCATGCCAGAAGCTTAGCTTGAACTCCTGCTGCTTGACATCATTGGGACCCTTCAGACCCTATTTAATTGTCCTTTCTGAGGGACAGTGAAATGTGTCTGCTTCCAGAATTCCAGGTGTCCATCACTGGCTTCAGTCTCATCAATTCCAGGTCTGAAAGACAGCTTTTTTATATTTTTTTTTAATTGGATGCAGTTGCAGCTCTTAACCCTCAAGTATAGATTGCTTTTCCTGAGCTTTGCATTTTCCAAGTCTCTGTAGACTGATGGGATCAAATATATCATGTCACTGTGCTGATTGCATCAGCAAGCTCAGATAGAAGCGTTTAGGGTTTGGTAAATTTTGTTTATTGTTGCTTTTTTTAGAGGTCCCTTTGCAAGGTGATTGTCCAGCACAGCAAAAAGTCTCCGGACTTGGTTGCTTCTATTTACTGAGCTTTTAGACTTCTGGGGCCTGAGAGCTGTCCTGGGTTTGTTCTGGACCTTCACCAGCCAAGTCTAAATGAAGACTTAGCCCTAGGCTTAATTGGGCTTTTCTTCAGAATGTGCAATGATTTCCCTACTTAGGAAAACTGTTGACACGTTTCTTATTTCTCATTTTTAGACAAGATTACCGAGAACAGATGTGACAGCAACTTCAGTTACATCTGAATCTCGTAGGTTTTTACAGGTAGGAGCAGGTAATTAAAGGGTAAATATTAATGATAGAAGTCAAGATCTTTGATTTAATTAGAGTTCTGGCAATAACTCATAGGAGTTTGGTGACATGTTTAGGAAAATGATGGGAAGATCTAAGAACAGGATATCATCCAGCCTGGGTAGACCAAGGAGTTTAGTCCGGTATCTTGTGTCCAGTAGTAGCCAGAAGTGGATGCATGGAGAGGGAGCTGGTCACAGCAGAAGAGACAGGGAATGTTCATACTTAAACATGGTTTGGAAAAAATATAAAAAGACAAAAAAACCTGCTAGGGCTGGAAAACTCAAACTTCTGTTGCCTTCTTTAAGATGATTTAAGGTGTTTTAGCTTCACAGAATCACAGAATTGCCTTCTGATGAGAGTCGGTGCTCAGTTCATTTTGAGATCTTTGTAAAAGCTACACACATCAGTAAAAAGTCACAGTTCCCATTTAGTGCATCTCCTGAATCTCCGTACCAGTTCTGATTTGGGGTTTTTGGGGTCTGGATAGTTGCATTTTCTGGTGAGGCAGAAAAACCTCTCCTCAGTAGCTGCTTTGTCTTGTTTATGTCGATAGGGTAACTCTCATAAGCATCTCAGAGGGGACATTCGGTTATATTCCATTTGAATCAGAAATTGGTAAAATAAAACCAATCCCAGTTTCATAAAGCAGCTCTTTTGCTACTCCATTGGTATGGTTACAGCCTGCTCCTGGTGTCACAACCAGTAGGATTTTTCTGTCACGGTTATACAAGAAAATTCAGTGCCACCTTAACAGAGTTCCTAGTTTTCTGAACAGATACTCCCTAAAAATGTATAAACGGCCTCAAGAAATCGTCTGGACTGGGACAGGCTTTATTGGAAGCAGTAAATAAGACGGAGTTGTGCAGTTAGGTATCTTCTAACCAGATGTCACTGTTTAATTTTTTTCCTTGTCTTTATCACTGTGAGCAGGGATTTAGCTGGAAAAACGAGGACACTGGTATTTGCAGAACTGGAATGAGCATGTGGAAATGTCTCATAATGATACCAAAAACAGATTGCGAGTGGTGAATTACATCCACTTTCCTTCGAAAAGAGCCATTTAAAAGCAATGTTGTAATAAAATAAAGAATTATCCTGACTTAAAATAATAGGTCCGCGTAGGTGAACTTCTGTGGGATGACAGAAGATGTGCCCTTGTGTGAAATTTGTTACTTAAAGTAAAATGGATCGTGCGAAAACACAGCGATCCCTTTATGCATCTCGTGGCCACGAGCACGCTGTGCCCTGCTGGCAGCGCCGCGCTCATGTCCTGGGCGTCTCGGGAACGGCTGCTGAGAGCTTGCAGAACCCCTCCACCGAAATGTGATGCCCTGGGTTAATGCCAATCATTTTGGGGTTAATTTCACATACCCCAAAATGATTATCAGTAACGAGGTGGCATTTATTGTGTGTCTGATTTTCCCTCCCAAAGCAAACAAAGCGAAACCCAACAGCCTGCTTCATCGCTAATGCACGCAAAAGCCACGAGCCAATAGTTGTTGCTGAAAAATGCAGTTTTTGTCACAAAAGCTTGTTGGTTTAGGTGTTTGTCTGACAGCAGCCCAGATTGTTTTCATATTCGCCTAGCAGGAGAATGCAAAGTCGGTAAGTGAATCCTTAGGGAAAAAGAGGAACTTTGAACTGTAGCTGTGGGCTGAACGTTTCTGATGCTCGGTCGAGAGGTAAATAAGGGGATAAAGGGACAAAGAGGGAGACACTGTTAATTACCTGCTTATTAGCAGAGGATGCATTTGTATGTTCACTCTCAGCATTAATAGATTCCAGATGTACCTCAGCACGTCACGGCCATCAGGTTACCAAGTTTCCAGTGTGTTATAATTGCATTTCTGCTTTTTTGTACAGTACGAAGTTCTTTTCCCAAAGCAGCAGATTCAGTAAATATCTTATGACCAGATCATTTCTCAGTATAATGTTGTATTTTAGAATAACCTGAACGTTGCAAAATACAGCATAATTATTTCTGGGCTAATCTGTCTGGAGTGGGGATTGATACCTGAAGTGCTTTTGTGTCTAACCCAAGATTGAGAAAGAAAGCAGTAAGACCTGCGAGGAATATGATCTTTGTGATTTTACCTCTTTGGCAGCAGGTGATTCTTATACGTGTTTGGTTCTCCAGATTGGTGGGCTCTGAAAGCTACTGAATGAAATAAGCTAATGAGTCCTAAGCCAGTTCCTAGTATTTAGAAATCCCGAACAGAAGCAGGGTCACTGCAGCAGGCACCAGGAACGGCAGGGAATCCAAAAACTGCAAGAGCTCTGTTAGGACAGATGTGTTTTGTGCTGCTGGATCGTACACAAAGTTTGCAAGAATTAATCTCAACTGTAAATCTAATTGTCAGTGAACAGTAAGATGATGGCAAATAGAAAACTGAAGATTTTAGGGCTGCGTTTTCAAAAAAAATATGCAGAGAAATGCGGCATTTTTCTCTGTTACAACCTGTACAAGACATTTTGTCTAACGTGCAAATTGAGCTGCTCTCTGCGCATGGGCAGCTCTGCGTGTCTTTGGAAGTCTCCTTCGAAAGGATGGGAGGTGTGCTCGGAGGCTAAATGCCAGCAAACACTGACTCTGCGGTGGCAGCTCCTGCAGGTCGTCCCCCCCGACTCGAGCAGAGCTGCCAGGGGGTGCCCCGGGCACGTCACTCCCCTCCCACACCCTTCCTGCCCATCAGAAAACTTCCAGGGCTTTAAAAAGAGCAAATATGGGAACATCATCCCATGGTTTTGTGGTTAGGGTGGTAAGGAACACGAGGTGCTCTGTAGGGTTCTTCCAACTAACGTGAAATTTTCTCATTAGAAATCAAAGTCAAGCAGGTGCTGTGGTTGTTGTATAATTGATGGCTTATTGTAATGAGTCATCGCCTCATTTCTGTAAACGTTTCAAATAATTCCCCGAATTTGAATGGTTCCTACATCTGCTTGAAGTATTAGACAATACCAAAGGTCAGCTATTTGATCACAAATGTTAGTTTTACCTTCATTTTAAAGATACACAGGAATTGTGAAAGCTAGTTAGAATAGAGCAGTTCAGTGCCTTTCTGCTGTTCTTTGACCTGATATTGTCACAGAAAACAGTGGTGTCCTTTTCTTTTTTTTTTTTTCTTATCTTTTTGTTCTTTAAATCACTAACTGGAATAAATACTTTTATTTTAGTCCTCCTCGACCTCTGACTAATATGAACTGATACCATGGTGACCCACATGTCCTCTGGAGCACCTACACCAACAAAAAGGTACGTGTGCTTTGCGATGGTTATTGGTTGTTTCTGTGAGAGGTTTTATATATATATATATATATGTATGCATATAGATTTTGATGGATTTTGTATCACTAGGACTTTTCTAACGTGTTTCAAGTAACGCTGCTAGTTCAAAGGATGTATACAGCATCCATTAAAGCAGGAATTGTTTGCAGTGTCTCTTTGTGGTCTCTCCAAATAGTGATTTGCTTTTATTGCAATAGATGTTATGAGTGTGACTGAAGAAATATCTAAACAGAACTAAAGAGATTTTTGTTGTTCTTATTAAATAGAGCATTACTTTCAAAGCTGTTCTGAGAAAGGCTGGTCTTGTTGTATCATAGGCTCCAGTGCTTACAAAGCAGAGGAATTCTGTTTCTGCTTGAGACATTCCACATAATGAGTTTACTTTGTTGGCTTTATTAATGCTTGTTCTCCACACCAAACTGTTTCGCTGCCAAAGTTCTTTAGTTGCCCACATCTAGTAGAGGCATTTATGTTACAGTTGTATTTGTGTTTACGTTTACTTATTTTCATATACGGAAATTATTGTGTAAGTGTACGTATGTAAATACGAAATACACTGTTGAATCAATTTGCACTTTTCTTTCTTGGTAAGTTACGCTAGGGAGAATAGCAAGGTGCTTCACTGAAGACTTAACTTGTCCAAAGCTGTGAATGAGTAAGTGTTCCCTGCAGGGAAAGAGAAACGGAACTGAAAAAATGTTCCTAAACTTTAATGACAAGCTGGTACTAAAGAGTAAGACAAATCCCAATTTTCAGCAACAGGGTTAAGCAAAGGTCCATGTACTTTCCTTCTGTTTCGCGAGACAAAAAAGTGAGTTGTATGTGCAGTTTTGAGCTGGCTACGATGGAATTTAAAAATCTGTTTCTAAATCACACAATTCAGCGTGTACAACCTGCATACAACGTGCAGTGCAGTGTACGATTCAAATTCCCTTTGTGCTGAACTAGAAGTGAGGAGGCTGAGGGTGGGCAATTCCCAGAGTCTGCTTCACGGGGTGTTTGTGTAGACAATCCTTCAGCAACACAACCCGTGGCGTTTTGAAGTGGTCGAGCCCTCTGCCAGTTGGGACCCAGAGGCAGCAGTTAGTTTGGGCAGTGAGCACCTAGTTCCTTAGTTTCTACTTCTTTGTCTAACCAACTTTTCCCATTTTCTTAATCCAAATTGGACAATTCACATTTTAAAAGTCTCTAATTCCACAGTCACTGAGACTTTCTCTCCTGTATGGTAGGCTGTGTTCTGACTTCCCAGTGTTTCACTCTTCCCAGTACAAGATCAGTTTCTGTGCTGGTCTGTGGGAACAGTAGGTGCCTTTTTGTCTCACGGAGCCCTGTAGTCCTAGTAACCATTAGTTCGTCTGCATTATATTTAAAAATCACATCTGATCTGGAAGAAGAGGACAGAGTGAAACTTGAGCCAAGATGACCCACAGCAAGTACCCAAGTTTCTTTCTCTGGGAATGGCAGGAGACAGACTGGTGCAAAATATCTGCAGGGTGGCCTCTGATGGAGGGCATGGAGCAGTCCTCCACAGATGAGTTTTTCAGTTGCCTCTTCAGTTCGAACACATGTGAACAAATATTTTGTTACTGAAAAAGCAAACGAGAAGATGAAACCAGTATTAGCTTTGCTGCCAAGTACCAATGCTGATCCCAAAGTACACTTCACCTAAAGAAACACATCTTTTTCCTAACATCCAGAAACTTGGTCTTTCACATCACCGTCATCTGCCAGCTATGCTGCTGTTCTCCTGTTCTCTTCCCTGCCCCTGTGGACAGGGCTTGGCCTACCCCTTCCCTTAATCTGAGAAAGAAGGTGCCAAAGAAAATGCTAGGAAGATACCATACCCGGCTTTCATCCAGAATAAGAAGAGGGCCAGCTATTACCACCTGGCCTTCAGCTGTTTTCTTGGCCACATCGACCTTACAACACACTGCTGAGATAAGGATTAGTGCAATATCACTTCTGTGGGGGATAATGAAGGGAAAGAAAATTGACAGCTCAGGGTAAGTAGGTATTAGTAAGTAAAGTGATATTTAATATAAATACTAATTGGCTTATGACAAGACCTCTATGTTGTCAGGTATTCTCAAGGCACAAGAATTTCATGTTCCTGTCAACCATGATGAGAGATAGCAGATGCTTCAGTAAGATTATAAGCAGTAAGTCATTAAGTCAAGTTAGTAAGTCAAATTTTGCTCGTGGCTTTTGCTTTTACTCCCATCTTGCAGCACTCATTGGTTCACTGCCTGAGTTGTAGCATTTATAGAGACCACTACTTCAAAAATCCGGCACCCACTAATGAGTTCTACAATTCAATTATGAGCTGTTTAAGAAAACTCTTATGTTTTAAAATTCTCCTTCTTCATGCTATTGAAGCCACCTGCTTCTAGTCTAAGAATCCTGGTTAAAAGTCAACTTAATTTTTCCTTCCAAATTGAATCGTGCTTGTTATCCTTCTCATCTTCTTTCAGTGTTTCTTTTTGATGTGGGATGACCAAAACTGCACCAAACTGCACCTACTGACCAAGCCTGAGCCCACTTTGCTGTCCTAGACCCATAGGTCTTTTTTTTTTGCTTGTGTGAGTTGCAGGGATCCGCGTAGCTCTTGTGGACAAAGGCACACAACTAATGAAATCTTCCTCTTCCCTGATGTGGCCATACATATGCGTAGATCTGGATTTGGTCACAGGAATCCCAAAAATGCCAATTATAGAAACTGCAGCGACCAAGCCAAACAAAAATAGCTATTCAACAGTGCTACCAAGACTAGTATTTGGACTAATGAGGACATGATAGAATCAGCAACACAGGGCTCTGACACACTTTGGCTTTGAGCATTTTTTATTATTCTTTTTTTTTATAAAGGAGCAAGATGTGTTCCAGAACCGGTCTTTAGAAAACCATAAATCATCTTACTTTCAAGCATCTTCTTCTGTCAGGCATCACAAGAACTCACAAGCAGCAAATCTATGGCAGATGTCATCATCTGTGATCTCCATACCCATTTTAGTACCTGCCTTTTACCAAGATCCTGGCTCTTCCCTCTTCTAGGATCCCTCTTCCAAAATTATGAAGGGTTACTTCATCTAGCAGATGCTGCAGGAGTTCATGGGAACAGGCTTCTTCTCTCTGTGCTTGCTTATTCCAGAGAAGGAACGGGGTATTGATCTTTTCCTGGACCTGGGGGGAAAGGAAACGCTGCCTCAGGTTCAGGTAGTAATGTTTGCCTCCATCATTCCAGCTCTTCAGGCTCTCAGCTTGCAGAACGCACACTTCTCCATAACCACTCCACAAGCCCATGGGGATGTACCTGAGGCTCGCAGTGGGACCCAAACACATCTAACAGGTATTGTCATTCAGACTCTGCTCAGTGCCTTTGTTCTTTGCAAAACACCTAGCTGTGGTGGCTGTGTAGAGCTGTCAAGCCTAATCAGGGTGTGTTTGTTTTTAATTACATCGTAATGAGAAGTAAAAGTCTTCATCAGAGCTTCTCAGGTTGTTCAGCTGAGGATCTGGAAGGAGTGATCAGTGAAAGCCGTTTCAGACTGTATCATTTGTATGGTCCAAGCCATTTCCATCTCTGCAAGGCAAGCCTGCTAGCATTACTGAGTTGTACTACACTGAAAAGTGCTTCTAAAGTAGCATAGATTATCTTAATTGGGCCTCTGTCCACTCACACTAAAGAAATGCTGCATGCCAGGTTTTACTTGGTACTACCAAAACTTTGGCTGAGGTCAGGTATACACATTTTGGAAAGAATATGGAAACACTGCAAAATGAATTAGAAGAGAGCTATAGAAAACCTACAAGCTGGAAATGCAATGCTAGAAGAGCATTATTAGGGAAGTCAGAGATGTGATTTGATCTCTAGGTTACAAATGTTTATGCATGGCAATATGTCCAGTAGCCAGGTTTCTTTCTAGCCTTGCACAGACGGGCATTTCGAGATCCACTGACTTCTGCATAACCTCTGCACGCAGCCAGCTAAATATATGGCTGCAGAATTTGTGGGCTGAGTCGTAGGCATGACAGCGAAAACACTTGGCTCTTGCTTCAGCTTGAGGAGGACTCCACTTGTCTCAGCATATGCCCATCCACGCCTGGTACCGTATTTCTGAGCATCTGAGACTTTTAGCACGCTGACTGAGCCACTGAATACATCGAAGCATTGCTGAGTCATTTATCCTCCAGTTTGTCAGAGACTTCAAGCACATGTCTGTGTCGTCTTTGTGTTCTGCATTCCTTTGAACCTGGAAAATTTACAGGTGCCTGCAGTTAGTAATAGAGTGAGTTAAGGCAGGAGAAACATTTTTTCCCCTTTGAAAATTTCTTGTATTTCTATTTTGTCAGTTCACACCTGTCTGGTTACAGGATTTTCCCCCAAGATTTATCAGTTAACTTTTGCTTAGGTTAATCCCAGATGTAAAAGGAAGGGTCTTGTTTCCCTGGCTGGAGGCACGGCCACATCTTGGCAGCGTGAAACAAATTTGGCAGGGTCACAGATTTCCTTGTGCAAGCCGAGTGGCCTTCTTAGCTGCATCTTCACGTGCTGAAGCTGGTCAAAATGGTCACATTTCAGAGAGCTGGCTTCTTTTGGAAAACAAATTTATTCTTAACATTAACCTATTTGTTCTTATGTCCTATCTTAATAGTTTATGCACCTGGAGTAAATTTGGGGTATAAATGTTAGAAGTAACTTCTAGCGTACTGTTTGCCTGCCTGTGGAGACAAAATTGTCCTGAAAAGAGGAAGTAGCAAAGTAGCAGCAAATGCAGTATCCTACCTAAGTCCTTTCCATTAGGAGGAGCGGATGTTTACACCTTTTTGGCAGATGTTTACATCTTCATCAAACTTTCTTCTTTCCAGCTAATACATTCTGGCTTCTGACAGCAGGATTATCCGAGAGTAAGGGTTTTGGGTTCACTTTGCTTTCTTTCCCCAAAAGATGGAGCAAATGTGGATTAATT